CTCTCTCTTTTTGTCCCTTCCATCCCCAGGTTAGTGAGGGTAAAGATTTTCAATTATGTTTATTATTAAATATAAAAACTCAGCTATTTGTTTCATTGATCTTTTGTTTTTAGTTTAGTTCTGCTTTCATTTTTATTATTTTACTTACTAATTTTAATTTTGGTTTGTAATTTTTTTTAGTTCACTGAATTGTAATATTGTTTATTTGAAATCTATTAAGGGTTTGCTACATTATTTATGTATTTGCATGTGTATCTGTGTCTTTGTGCACTTGCATGTCTTCACAAGGGTGTGGCAGTTACAGGAGGATTTACAGTTCTTTCCTTTCTCCATGTAGCTCACTGGGACTGAGCAGACTTGATGACATGCACTTTACTCTTTGGGCCGTCTTGACAGCTCCTTCTTTACACTTCTATTTACTGTACCCCAAACAGCTTTGCCATGATAACCTCCCACATCCACACCACCCCTCCTCCTGCCTTCCTCCCAGATCACTGGTCCCTTTATGCCCTCATACAGTCCACTCTGAGAGAGCACTCAGTACATGTGTGTAGAGGAGAGGACAAATACAGGGGTGGGGTTGAACTCAGGTTGTCGGGCTTGGCAGTGAGCAGCTTTACCTACTGAGATACCCTCCGACTCCTAATTAAATCTGTATTCTGTCAGTGGGAGATAACCTGTGATGTTTTCTGCTTTCTCCCCCATTACTATCTTCTGTCCCCTTCATCCCCTTTGAGCTCCTTCCTCCTGCTGCAAAGCTTCCCTTCTATTTTTTTTCATACACACTCTGTATTTCAATCCATACTCCCCATCCAAGAGAAAACATGATGTAGTTACTTTTCAGAGTCTGACTTACTTCCCTTAACATGATCTCCAGTCTCATCTACTTTCTTGCATATAATATAATTTAATTATTTCATGTAGGATAAAAATCCATTGTGTGTATTTTTCATATTTTCTTTATCCATCCATTCATTCAGAGCAGCTGTAAACATGGGTATGTAACTATCTTTGAAGTTTGCCTATTTGGATTCCTTTGAGTATTGTTCTAGTTAGGTTTTTGTTGCCATGGTAAAACCCTGACCAAAGCCAACTTGGGGAGGAGAGGATTCAGTTTATACTCCATAGTCCATCACATGGGAGGCCAGGGCAGGAATTAAGGCAGGACCGGGAGGGAGGAAAGAAAACAGAGACCATAGAAGAATGTTACTTACTGGCTTGCGTCCCCTGGCTGGGTCAGCTTCCTTTCCTGTACACCCCAGGACAACCTGCCCAAGGATGGCACCACCCAGGGCAGTCTGGGCCCTCCCACAGCAATCATGAGTCATGAGAACTCCCCATGGGCCAATCTGATAGTGGTAACTCCTCAGGTGAGGTGCCTCTGGTTTGCATCAAGACAAAGCTATTCAGCACAAATGTTTACCCAAGAATGGTGTAGATGGGGCAGATGGTAGTCAAGTTCCTGGAGGAGCCACGATGTGAATTTGTACTGTGGTTGGTTAGACTGCCTTGTCAGTGAGTTCCCAGGATCCCCCTTTCTGTCCGTTCAGTGTTGGGGTTACAGGTACATGCCAACACACCTGCCTTTTCGTGGGTGTTGGGATCTGAACTCAGGTCCGCATGCTTGCATGGCAAGCACTGTACAGACTGGGCCGTCTCTCTAGCCCCTTGCTGGGACTTTAATAGAATTGTGGGTGTCTGTGGCCAGGGACAGGGAATGCAGGGTGTCTGTCCTTTAAGGCAGTGTGCTTTTTCCAGCAGCAGCTTCTTTCTCGGGATATCACTGTACTCTAGCAGTCTGGTGTCTAGGGACTGGGTGAGTGACAGTGGGTCTTCTTTCTCGGAAACAGAACTCCTGTGTGAACCCAAGGCTGTTGCCACAACTGGGTTCTAATCCCATGGTCACTGTGGGACTTTGTAGGAAGCAGGAATGCCTGGGTTTGCGGTGATCAAATCTTCCAGGTGTCTCCAGTCTAATCTTTTCCCTGGAACAAGGAGGTAAATCTCCTTGGCCAGGGAGGTAGGGTCACAGTTGCCAGTAGGCTGTGTTCTTTCTGTACTGTCAGCCTAGGCCTCTGTGCATTGCTGGGCCCCTTACTTGTCCCTTGGCCATCCTTGAAGCAAAGGAGTACAGTTGTCTTTCTTTACATGTGTACTTCTATTTGGCTATCTTGTAATTTTGCTTTTTGGGCTTCTTTTTTGGCTCTCTTGCTTTTACATTAAAATCTTTTTATTTATAGATTTATTTATTCTATTGTAAGTATAAGAATCTTTTGTCTACATGTATATATATTTACTATATACATGCCTGGTGCCAAAGGAGATGTTGGGTCCCTTGAAACTAAAGTTGTACATGGTTGTGAGGCATCATGTGGTTGTCAGGAGCTGAACCTGGATCCTCTGCAAGAGAATAAAGTGCTTTTAACCACTGAGTCATCTCTCCAGCCACTTCTTGCATTTATCTTTAAAATTCTATTTATTTATTTGTGTTTATTTATGTGCATACATGTGCGTCTGTGGAGGTCAGAGGACAATTCTGGGGAGTCACTTGTCTCCTGTAACTTTGTGGGATGGAGGCCATGACCTCAGGTTGTTAGGCATTGGTTTCCAGGAAAACACTTGCTAGGCTTTTGATGGGATTTGTTAACTCTGTGAATCTATTTGGAAAGGACAGATATGTTTGTAATATTATGTCTTCCTAGAATGTAGCCAGCTCTGGTGTGTTGGTTTTGGTCAAGTCCCTTGGGACATCATTAGTCGAGAATCAAGTTGCGTGTTGTTTCTTTTTACCTTGGGGTTTCCCAGATTAACTTGGATTATATAAACTTGAACCTAAAATCTGTGTGAAGGCAGGTTTGTGGTTATGAATTCCCAGGGAAGTGTCTGTTTATCTCTCAGTAGAATTATTTACTTTCCCTCTAAAGTGAAAGCTAAGTTTTCTTTCTTTTTTATTATCAGCTTGGTTGGTGAGAGATTTCCCTTTCCAAGTTCATACTTTCTTTGTCAGAGTTCCCTGTGTGAGCATTGAGCCCCAGGTCTCATAGTGCTTACAAATTCTCCAGCCTTCTGACCAAGTTGTCACAGTAAAAGCTAATATGAGTTTTCTGGCTTCTGGGGGGGTTATCATGGACTTCTGTAGGACTCCATTGGGATTGAAAGGGGTGCTTATGTAGTTATCTAGCATTTTTTGGTGTCTATCCTTTTAAAATTATTTCATTTTATTTGTGTGTGTGTGTGTGTGTGTGTGTGTGTGTGTGTGCGCGCGCGCATGTGTGTGAGCACACAACCATGTGCTTGGGGGCTCAGAATATTCCATTGAATCTCCTAGAGCTGGAGTTACAGGTCCTTGTGAAGTGCTCCTACATGTAGGCCCCACTTTTCCTGAGTAGTGGTAACACAGACAGAGTGGGTTCTCATCTTGGGCTATTATTTCTTTTTATTAGCTTACCTTACAGTTTATTCTATTTGTCCTCTGATGACGTCATAGATGTATAGAGTGCATTCTGCTTCCTTCTGTCCTGCCTATCTTCCTCTAATCATGTCATTCCCTTCCTCCCTTTCCCACATCACGCTTTTTTATTTTTATTATTATTTTTTTGACCCACAGGTTTGAACCAGGATGACCACAGGTTTGGAACTATTGTCAGAGTCAGATAGACTCACTGTTTAGTACACTGAAGGCAGTAATTCCTTATCCCAGAATCCATTGGTTGTCAATAGTTTAGGGGGATGGGTAGGGCCCTATGAGCTGCTCCTTGATCCGTGATTGGCTGGTGACAACAGACCCAGTCTTGCGCAGGAATTTTAAAAAATAAATTATTTATTTTTAGTGTATTGGTGTTTTGCCTGCATGCATGCCTGTGTGAGGTGTTGGATCCTAGAGTTATAGACAGTTGTGAGCTGCTATGTGGGTGCTGGGAGTTGAACCCAAGACTTTTGGAACAACAGTCAATGCTCTTGATCAGTGAGCTATCTCTCCAGCCCTAGTTAGGAGGATTCTTACAAACAGTAGACGCAGAAGACCAGGGGAATACCTAGTAGAACAGAAGACTCTGAGTTCATGAAGGTTCACGCTAATGAAATGTGCAAGATGGTACCAGCACCCACCTTGAAAGTCCTGTTAGTGTGATGTCCGCTGTGCCCTGATACCTGGGTTATTTCTTTTCTTTTTTCTTTTTTCTTTTTTTTTTTTTTTTTTTACGCTCACAACAAAAATCATTTATTTACAAAGGTCAGGATAGGTGTTGGGAGTAAGAGAGCAAAAAGGCAGGCATGTCTGAACTGCTTGGGACCCTTCCCCAACTGTAGCAGGATTCCTTTCCTTCTTTACCTCTCAGCCAGACCACAAGGCAGAGAGAACGTGCTGAGAGCCTTCTCAGCACTCCAGCTGAGCTAACCCCAATTCCAAACTAAAGGCATCACCATGCCCATCCCTTTCTCAGATAGAACTTTCTGGCCTGGAGGAAAACAGCAAGGAATTGGAAAGCATGAGCTCTGGAAAAGAAACCTAACCATTTTTTTTTTCCAGCAAAAGAGTCTTAGTGGCAAGGGTCTCAGTCAGAGCCATCGTCTTTAGGAGAAACATCCAGACACTCAGGAGACTCAGCTCTCACAATGCTGTATCTCTTCAGTAGGCTGACTCTTGTACCCACTCATCTCTGTTGACAAAGTTGTGAACCAGAAACCAACAAAGAACACACACCTTCCCCAACTTGGGTGAACGCACATGTATGCACAGATACAAATTCTTCATACTGCTAAGAAAGATCCAATCCCCACATCTTCTAGGAGTGGGGCTAAAAGCACTGGAGCCTGAAGATGTAGGTAGGTCCTGGGCACACGGAAACACGTGTGTGCAGAAACACATATGTCGGCGACAACAGAACCAACCTGGCTCCTTGTGGGCCACACTGCTCAGCTTTGAGCTCTTCAATTCAAATTCTATCAGTCTCTCTCTTTCTCCTGTCAGGCCTGGGTCTGGGTTCTCCAACCTGAAATCTATTGGTGTTTCTAGACCCCCAACTCTCAATTCAAACTTCCCAGCCTTCAGCGCAGGCTGTCTCCCCAAGTCCCTGTCTCCAGGAACTCTCAGCTGGTGCTCGTCAGCACCAGCCTCTGCTGGTCTTGTCTGTTATTGGCAATCCTGCCCAGAGTGGTGGTTCATGGCTCCCTTTGGGCAAGAGGACAGGAATCTTTCTCCCTGCCTGAGAGTCCCAAAGGAGCCCATGAGAAAATGCTGGGTGAATATGCAAGAGGGGTAGAGAAAGAAAACTACAGCGTTTCGTCAGCTCCTCTCCAGAGAGTAAAATCCACACACTGGCTGGGCTGAGGTGCGGAGGAAAGGAGGAGAGCAAGAGCAAATGTAAGGCAAGCTAAAGCCTAGTGGTGCCGACGGAAGACTCTGGGGAGCCAGAGGGGGTCCTCCTCTCAGACCCTGGGAGAAGACTGCACATTGCCAAAGTACTGTGGGCAAGGAGGTAGGGCCAAATGTCCAACTGTGCAAACTAAATAGTTCTGCTCGGAGGCCCGGGAGAAAGGATTTCATAAGACAGCAACAAAATCAAAACCCTTGAACAGAGCTATGGGGATGGGCCCAGGCCTCCAGAATCACCCTGTTGTTTGTAGAGGTCAAAGAAGGCTTCAGAAGGTAGGGTTTGACAGAGGAGCCAGAAGGCTGGCACTGAGAGCTGGGGAAGGCAGGAGGCACGGGCCAAGGGATCAGGAGAGCTGGGACCCCAGGAGTCTCTCAATAGCTGCATTGATGTCCCTACCTGTGGCGATCAGGGCCTGTAGGTTAGCTTTACGGTTGACAAAGCCCATGGAATTGAGCTGCTTCAGCTGCTGCTGAAATCTCATTTCTGGCATCGGCACCTGTGAATTTCCACTTCCAGCCAGAAGCTGGATCATCTGCTGCATGAGCTGCTGCTGGGCACTGGAACCCGCTGTGGGAGGAGGCGTGGCTGACATGCCTGGGGAGGGGGTGGGGGCCTCCGCTGCAGACCCAGAGTTGCCTGTCAGGGGTACAGGGGTCCGGGATGTCCCAAAGGAGCCAAGGCTTGGTACCAGCCAAGGGGCTTCAGTTTGCAGGGTCTGCAGTCCCTGCTGAATCTGCAGCAAGGCCTGCATGGCCCGGGGATTGGTGAGGATGGAGAGAGACTCTGGGTTCTGCATCTGCCGCAGAAACACAGGGAGCTGCAGACGGAGTTGCTCCTGAAGCTGTGGATTCCCCGCAAACAGTGGGACATTCACCATCATCTGAGCAGCAAAGTCAGGGTTCTGGGCGAGTGTCTGCATCATGCTGCGCATGCAAGGGGCTGAGATCACATTCTGCATCAGCTGGGGGTTTTCAGAAATCTGCTGGAGGAGCGCCTGCATTTCTGGGCTGTTGAACATCCCTGACCCCAGGCTAGCCGCATTGATCCTAAAGGGGTTCGAGACTGTCGGGTGCACCTGGCTGGTCCCCGATATTCCGGTGCCCTCCCCACCGGACCCGGGGGCCTGGGAGATGGGGGGCGAGGGGCTCCAGGGTTAGGGAGGGGCTCTCGATTCTCAGTCAGAAGAGGCTGGGAAGATGTGCTGTCGGAGTTCCCGGCCAGGGAAGAGAAGGGATTGTTGCCAAACTGTTCCCGAGCAGCTGTGAGCATGGGCTCCTGGATGTCGGTGTACATGCGGCGGAGGGCATTAAACCCTCTAGGGATGCTTTCCAAGTTGCTGAGGACCCGGTCCTGGTTCCTCATCATTTCTTGCATCATGGCTGGGATCCGAGCAAGCTCCATTGTCTGTCTCATGAGCTCAGGGTTGTTGAGCATGTGGCTGATCTCAGGATTCCTCTCCATCAGCTGTTGCATCTGGGGGTTAGCCATGATCATGTGACGCAACAGGTCAGGGTTTGACATCATATCCTGGACCAAGGGGTACTCCATAATCTGTGAGAGCATCTCAGGGTTGGACATGAGCTGTCTCTGCATCTGTTGCTGTAGCTCCATGAAGTTGGCAGAACCCAGGCCCAGACTGCCTAGGCCAAGGATGCCCCCAAAGCCAGAGAGAATCGATGCAGTAGCACTTGGGGGCCCCTCTGCAGCCACTGGAGAGGGTCCTCCTCCATTGCCAGAATCTGAAGTGGCATTGCCAGAACCTCAGGACTGGGCAGGGGCAGCAGGGGAGGCAGGTGTGGTGGAGGGTGCAGAGGCAGAGTCAGGAGGGGATGGTGGAGAAGTAGGCGTGGCCATTGGATCTTGAGCCTTCTGAGGGGTCTTGATGACTAAATGGACTGTGAGCCCATCCTTAATCCCATGCTGGTTCAGTGTGTCTCCATCCTTGAGGATCTTGCCTGCGAAGATCAGGACCAGCTGATCCTGCTGAACCTTAAACCTCCGGGAGATTTCCTCCTTGAACTCCTTGACCGAGGCTCGATTGCAGATCACGATCTCCTCCTTGTCCTTGGGGGTCTTGACGGTGACCCGAATCTGGGGCCTCGTCTCGGCCCTGCTCGGCTCTACCTGGGTTATTACTGTTGGGCACTTTGCTTTATTCTGCGGTCTCCTCTTAGTGGCATTGGCTGTACAGGGAACCCTCTACTTCTTACGAGGGTGGAGGCGATGGTTACTATCAGGTGTCAGCTTGAGAGGATCTAGAATCACTTGGAATCAAGTATCTGCGTGCATCTCAGAGAGATTCTTTACCCCCTCTGTCCTCGCTTTATTTATTTCTCTTTTAGTGAATGGTTCCTGGTGGCCCTTTCTAAGAAAGAACGACTCATTTCTTTATGCCAAGCAGGTGCAGGACCACATTCCCTAGGAAGAATGTTCAGGCCTAAATGTAGTTTTGTTTAATGAGGGATGAGTCTTGCTAAGTAGAGAAGGCTACGTTTTAGAGTCAACCCCCCCTCACCCCTACTCTGGTCCTGTGATACCTGCGATGCTTCCTGGAAGAAATGGAGAGAGTTTTACTCTGCACTACTGTTTCTAACGCAAACCTGGAGCAAGTTCCTGAGATTTGTATGAATTCACGTGAGTTTGACATGGGGGCTGAGGTCAGGAAGCTGTGGGTTCTTTCTGGATGCCAGGGAAGTGTGGGGCTCTCTCTGGATGTCAGAAAGCTGTGAGTCTCTGTCTAGATGTCAGGAAGCTGTGGGCTCTCTCTGGATGTCAGGAAGGTGTGGGGCTCTCTCTGGATGTCAGGAAGATGGGGGTTCTCTCTGGATGTCAGGAAGATGGGGGTTCTCTCTGGATGTCAGGAAGATGTGGGTTCTCTCTGGATGTCAGGAAGATGTGGGGCTCTCTCTAGATGCCAGGGAAGTGTGGGGCTCTCTCTGGATGCCAGGGAAGTGTGGGGCTCTCTCTGGATGTCAGGGAGATGTGGGGCTCTCTCTGGATGTCAGGAAGATGTGGGGCTCTCTCTATGGTTTTTTTTCTGTGATGGGGTTGCCTTCCCAGTTTCCCTGCAGCTCACAGCTTCAGGAGTTGATTGCTGTGTGAAAAGTATGTCCCTGGAGCTATCAAATCATTCTCATTACTGTGACAAAGCACCCAACCTAAGCAGCTATTTCTGTTTGGATTACCATATGACCCATCTCTACCACTCCTGGGGAGATACCTGAAGGAATGTGTTGGCAGAACACAGAGATGCTTGCACGTCCATAATCATTACTGCATTTTTCATAAGAGCCACACACAGAACCAGGCTAGACAGATGCCATGGGTGAGCAAACGAATAAGCCCCACACTGAAGCCCCACTACTTTGCTTTTCTATTACTTGAGAAACGTCATGGCCAGAAGCATCTTCGAAAGGTACAGGCACATTTCAACTCATAGTTTATAGTCCTTCACTGAAGGAGGAGGGGCAGGAAGTCAAGGCAGGAACCTGGGGGAGAAACAGAGGTAGAGACCATGGAAAAACACTGCTTTCTGGCTTGCCCCCATGGCTCGCTCTGCTTGGTTTCTTACACACCTCAGGATCACCTGCCCATGGGTAGCACCATTCACAGTGGTTAATGTGTGTGTGTGTGTTCATGTATGTGTATGTGGGTGCATGTTCATGTGTGTGGAAGCCAGAGGATAGCCTCAGATATCATTCCTTAAGTTTCTACTTTTTCTTTTCTTCTTTTTTTTTTGTTTTTGAGACAAAGTATTTTACTCTGAGCTAACCATTTTCTTTACACTGGCTGCTCAGCAAGTCCCAGGGCTGCTCTTGCTTCTGCTTCTCCAGTGTGGAGACCACAAGCATGCACTGCCATGTCTCCATTTTTATGTAAGTTTTGGAGCTTGAGGTCAGGTCCTCACGCATGTGTGGCAAACACCCTATCAACTGAACTATTTTCCTATAATTCCTAGATTTTTATTGGTCTCTTTACTCTCCTATTTTTTTTAAAAAAAAGACTTTAAAAATGTTTTTGTGTGTGTGTGTGGTTTTGCAGAGCACATGAGTGCATCCGTTTTTCTTAAAAGTTTTACATTTTAATTAGAAAACTTTTTACTAATTGTGTATGTGTGTGTGTGTGTGTGTGTGTGTGTGTGTACATGTGTGCTAGGCACGTTTGGAGGCCAGAGGTGTCAGAGTCCCCTGGAGCTGGAGTTACAGCAGTAGTGAGTCACATGACACAGGTGTTAGGAACCGAACTCAGGTCCTCTGCAGGAGTCGGATACACTCTCCACCATCACGCTGCTTCTGCAAACCCATCTACCTGAGCATAGCAGCTTTCACGGGAGGTGTTTGGACAGCTCCGCTGCAGACAGTAGACCTGGGGAGACCTTAGGCAATGCCCCTGAGAACGACTCAGGGTGAGAGCGGCCCATGCTATTGCTTCTCCTCAGCTGGCTCAGATTGGAGACATTCAAGTTCAGGCACGCTCCATGAATTTGTGTCTCCAGTGTCCTCAGATACCCCATTAACATGCTGGAGCAGGCTCAGGCCAGCCCATGAGTGCTCACTAGTAAGAGTTCAGCTCTGGGTGTGGTGGCGTATGTCTTAATCTCAGCACTTGGGAAGCAGAGGCAGGCTGATCTCCCCGAGTTCTAGGCCAGCCTGGTCTCCATAGAAAGTTTGAGTTATGCTTGGCCATTATAAAAAGTTAAGTGGCATAGCCAGGTGAGAGCTCTAGAACTATTTTGGGAGGGCTCCACGGTGAGACACTGTGTGATGGTTAATATATTCATTAATGTAACATGACCTAGAATCACTTTGGAACAAACATCTTGGCACACCTGTGAAGGAATTTCTAGCTAGGGTTAATTGAAGTATGTAAACTCATCCTGCATCTGGGTAGCACAATTCCTGGGCATCCTAATTCTGCTCCCTAACTGTGGATGAAATTGACCAGCGGCCCTGCACTCCCACTGCCATGCCTTCCGCCATGATGGGATGGATCTTCAAACTGTGAGCCAGAACAAACCCTCCCTTCCTTAAGCTGTTTTCGTTGCCACAGTGGTGAGAAATAATGAGACGACTGACTCAACGAGGAAAACACCTAGGTATGTTCAGGTCTGTCCAAGGCCCTGAATTACGTGTGTGTGTATGTGTGTGTGTGTGTGTGTGTGTGTGTGTGTGTGTGTGTGTGTGTGTATACATACATATATATCCCATATGGTGGTTTGAGAGAAAATGGTCCCCAAAAGGAGTGGCACTACTAGAGGGTGTGGCCCTGTTGGAGGACGGTCATCACTGTGGGCGAGGCTTTGAGGACTCTTGTTCAAGCTTTGCTCAGTATGACAGTTCTACCTGTTGTCTGCAGTAGGACTCTTGGTATTGCTCCAGCACCATGTCTGCCTGCATGCTGCATTCTCCCTGCCATGATGATAATGGACCGAACCTCTAAAACTGTAAGCAAGATCCCCCAATGAAATGTTTTTCTTATAAAAGTTGCATGGTCATGGTGTCTCTTTACCACAATAAAAACCCTAACACACACACACACACACACACACACATATGCACATATATATTGTGTGTGCCTTATATATGTCATATAAAATGCATAGATAACTTCAATTATACATACTACATTTAAAAAAGGTCATAAACACTCAAGCCCTTCATAATTATTTTTAATATTAGGGATGCTCTGTAGCTGTAACTCTGAGGAAGAAATACCGCTCATGCTAGTCATTATGTGAGTGTGTGAGTGTATGCATGCCCATGCGTGTGGAGGCCACAGTTCCACCCTGGATGTTGTTTCTCAGGCTTCTTACTATCCTGGACCTCGGGCATTCAGATAGACTTCTAGGTCAGTGAGCCCCTGGGAGCTCCCCATCTGTTTCCCCAGGTCTGGGAATACACAATGTCTGGCTTTTATTTGGATCCTAGGGTTCTAACCCAGGCAAGCACTTTACTAACTGAGCCATCTCCCCAGCTTCCAGGTCTCTATTGTTACTTGTATTGCTGAGACCAAACACCTAACAGAAACAGCATAATGGAGGCATTGTCTATTTGGGGGTCAACGTTTCAGAAGATTCAGAGGAAGGCCGCTCCCTTCACAGCTGATCAGACAGCAGAGGAGGGGGGAGCAGGCACCCTGAGAGCGCCCCCCTTTCCCTCCTTTCATTGTGCCCAGCCTTTCCCCCCAGCATGAGACAGTATCGCTCACATTCGGGGCAGGTCTTTCTCCTTTAGCTAATTCTCTCTGGAGATGTCCTCAGACACAGTCTCACCAACCTCCTTGGAGAGCTCAAAGTGCAGTCAAAAAAATGGAGAAGGTTAAACATTGCAGAACAGCAAACAGAAATATTGGGGCATTCTCTACTATCAGCACTTAGAAGACAACCAGGATCACCTGATTTCTTTCTCAGTTATTTCCAATGTGCATTGATTACATCACCTTTTTTCTGGTTTTCACACATAAAAAAGTTGTGTCTTTCACTCTCTTGTCTCAAAAGCCCACTTGTAAAGTATTCCCAGCCCACCACTGTGTACAATGATGTAGCATATGGAGGGGACACCTGAGGGCATAGTCCTGAGGGTGACTCTCGACATCAGCCTTTTTAAGGCAGGCAAAAGGGCATCACTATCTGTAGCCAACATAAAAAATGTAAAAACTGCACATTTCATAGACTGTTTCTAGAATGACTGATAAAAACCTATAGCCATGAACTCACATGATTTCTAGAAGTGATTAGCCACTGTTTCTCATTAGTTACTCTTCTTGTTTCTGTGGCAAAATGCCTGACAAGAAGCAACTCAAGGGCCACAGTGATGGACCACGGTGGATGTCTCAGGCAGGAGTATGGGTGCTGTGGCACAGCACTGGCTGGAGCGATGATTCTGACGTTTGGGGTGGTACAACATCGAAAGAAGCTCTACATAAAGCTGTGGCTTCCTTTAACAATGCTCTAAAGAAAGGTGACATTTGTGAAACCAGACAAACCAAATGGCACAGCCAGAAGAAAACCTGCTAAGAAAAGTAAAAACCCAAAGAAGAATGTTCCCAACTCCCTTGAAAACGGTGGGGATAAATGTGCTGCCATTGGGTCAGAAGGCGGCTGCGTTCACCCAGCTGGTTTAAGAGGAACCCGTGTTGTGATTTATACTTGATTTGGAGTCAGCAGAGAGAGATCTGTCCCATCTACTTTCCCCAGCTTGTGAAGTAGATACTAAGACAGAAGAGGACGCTCAGGAGGATGAAAATGAACGTCAAGCTTCCTTCGGATCTCCTAGAAGTAAACCACATGAATCAAACTGCTTCGTGGAACTCCTTTTTCCCTCCTTCACTCACAATGCCAAGGTCAAGACTGGTACCAGGAAAGCCAGGTCTGAGATTCAGTGGCTCACCACTTCCACCACCTCCATGGCCCCTTCCTGCTATGTTGGATGCCTCCATTCCCTTTGGGACCACCAATATTTCTCCCACCCCTCCCATGTCTTCAGATTGTCTGAACGGCACCAGTGCCTGGGAAGACGGTAATCTCTTGGTACACGAGTGGCTATTGTACTGGCTAGTGTATGGGTTTCAGACCAAAAAGTGCTCATATTAAGCAGTTCGACTCTCTCCCAAGGAGGTGGTATGTTGGTGTCCCTTGTTGATATGAACAGAAGTCTCATTGCGATCCTGGCAGACACTCGATTGAGTGGTCTGTCATCAGCTTTTTCTGTTCTGGGCTTCCATACCTAAATAACCAGCAGGGCAAATCAGTTTGAGGAACCAAATGGCAGAAATGTGAGTTCATGGAAGTCGGTCTGCCAGGATTACGATTCAGCACAACTGCAGATTGTAGCTTTCTCAGTGTGTCAAGACTTTTAAGAATGCATTTAAAAATAAATAAAAGTCCTCCCCCCCTTTTTTTGTAGAAAAGAAGCAGCTTGAGGAAGGAAGGGTTTATTCTGGCTCATAGTTTGAGGTCACAGTCCATTGCGGTGGGGAATCATGGCAGCAGGAGCAGGAGGCAGCTGCTTACGTTGTACCTGCAGTCAGGAAGCAGAGAGCGATAAACTCTGGTGCTCAGCCGGGGACCCCAGCCTACTGAATGCTGCCCCCTACATTTAGAGTGGTGGTTCCGGTTTCAATTAACCCAGTCTAGGAACTCCCTCCTAGACACGCAGAGATGTGTGATTCTAGATCCCATGAAACGGACAGGACTAACGTCACCATTTCTGAGGGCTGGGGTCTGCTCTGTCGCCGCTGTACAGACTCCTCACTTAAGTTGCTGTGGTTTGTTTTACTGCCTTAGAAAACGATCTGCTCTGGGTGTGGAGAGATGGCTGAGCAGTTTAGATGCTCTTGCGGTGGATCTGAGCTTGGTTCCCAGCACGCACGTGAGTGGCTCACAACCACCTGTAACTTCAGCTCAAGGGGATCCAACGCCCCCTTCTTGTCTTTGCAGGCACCTGTACTCATGTAGTCAAATACAATTAAAAATAAGTAAAGTCATACGAATCTGATCTCTCTGACTGTGTGATCTGTTGATGGGGGTTTGGCTAAAACAGTGTCAGTCATAATGGAAAAGGGAGGTTGGGAAGCAATTCAGAGAGTTAGACAGACATGGCTTAGATGATGGATTGGCCATGCAAGGTGAAAAATTAAAGATGAACATTAATTTCATAATTTTAATTGCAGATTTTTACACATATGATAATGAGACTGGCAAGGAGGAACCCATCACCCCAACTTAAGAACCATTAGCATTCTTCTGTGTTTGCCTCATCTGCTTTATTGAAGCATTTAGAGTAAATTACAATCATTGTGACATTTCAACCCTAAATAATTAAGCACACATCTCCAACAGATTATCTAATGCAGCCAACACGAGTTCATAGCAACATCTTCAAAATTACCACCAAAATGTTTTACTAACGTT